GGTGTACCACTGCACACATCGCACCACATCAGATGGCATTTGTGAGTGCGGTGCAACAGTTGGTGGAGGAAGTGGAAGGCATTTGGAGTGTTGGCGAGACGGGTCGTCTTGGCGCAGTGGGGCGGTTGGCGAGGCGGAACTTGGAACCCCTCATCCATCATGTCATGGTGAAGCGTGATGCAATGAGTGGGCTTGAGGTAGAGAATAGTGAAGTCTGATGAGCAGCGCGTAGTTTGTGCACAAACACTCGACAAGTGGCATGAAGTCATCACTGAATAGTGGACTAAATTTTTCCGGTTTTAATCTGCCTCTTTATCTTAAGCTCTTAATTTTTTAACAGCGGTGATTAGTACGTTTGCCCACCAAGTTCTGTTCGTTGGTTCATCCAGTAAACTTCCATTCAAGATGTTTTTTTTTCTCCTCAAGAGGTGCACATTTGTTAAAATTAAACTTGGAAAACATGTATGACAATCATTTTAATAGTGGTAAAGAAATGTCAACACCGTGTTCTCGCACTGCTGCCTTAACGAAAGCTGCGTGCCGGAAAAACCAACGTTTTGGGCGCGAGTGTGCCAAATAATTTAAATAAATTATTTTATTAGAAAACGGCAACTCATCTGCCACTTTGTGTAACACTTTAATCCACTTCTGATGCCCTATGCCATGAAGATGGATGCGATGAGAAGGTAGCCCTGTCGAATTTAAGATGTTGGAGCAGATGAGCAAAACTGGTACCTCTCCGAGCATCTGCACAGGCGTGATCGGTTTAATACAGCTTAGAACGCCACACAGCGAAACGTTTTTGATGGCAAGACTTCTTAATTTCCATGTTCATTGCGAGTTGGGTACTATTCACTACAGATTTTGTCGTTATCCGATTTATTCACCGTGGCCGTGTTTACCTAACCACAAGCTCAACTCAAATTAACTTTTCACTAGGCATATTTGGTAGTAATTAGGCGATTATTACGCTCGACGTAGCGGAACCGATTGCAGACTTTGAAAAGTGACACAACTTCCAGTCTTAGATGATAAAATGAGCAAAATTTCAATTTTGCACTATAGTGGAGCCTGTATGGTGCTCTTGAGTGATAAGGTCAATGAGGAAGAAACAGGACGTGAAATATTGGTTAGTGTGTTTGACATACAACCCTTTTCACACAATAAGCAGTTCAGTCTCCACTTCAGAGACGTTGACTCTAGGCGACCCTCGGGTGGGTGCAGATAATCGAAACACACACGATGCAAGTAGCGCAGAAGCACTTCAGGCCTTCGTAGGAGGGAAAATCTCACGGCCAGCTACACAACAAAGCTCCGTAGTGCAACACACACAACTCGGCGGCACGGCAAAGACATGTCATCTTCACAGAGGGCTTTTACAAATTCGAGCAAATTAGGGTAATTGTGTGCATACTTGTACTATGCATCTATTTGGCAAATTGCTTACCAAGGCAAAGCGGAAAAGAAACCTGTGGCCAGAGGTAGTGGCAAGAGAGGGGAGTCCTGTTGATGAATAGACGGCAAATGTGCATGCTGTTTAATTAGGCTTAGAGCACATCACCCCCAGAGACATCAAACAGCCACCTCCAATGTCAGGAACCACATCCAATTTTTTTGTATCAGAGTGGGATGAGGAAAAGGAAGGCGCACCCGCCCCTCGAAGGAAGGTCTTTTAAGTAGACCACAAAGAAGGTAGAGCATAAATCGGCCATCGCAGTCGAGTAATTTGTGAATAATTAATGAAATTGCATCGAATATAGGTTGATCTCTGTGTATTTTGAGGAAAAAGCAAGTCGATTCAGTGAAACCTTAAGTCAACACACATACCATTGTATTCCACCACGTAGCCTGATCTGTTCAGTTTAAATTAAAAGCAGTTTCTTGAAGTATTTTACAAGTAACAAAGCAACTTTAGACTTTTGAACCAGTCTCGGACGCAGAACAATTCATTTTAAGAAGTGATGTATGCACCATACAGACTTTCGGTGTATTTACAAACTTGTTATAGGCGTAATACGTTGTTTATGTGACCGTCTGTATGATCAGCGGTTACTTTGCTATTCGTTTGTTCTTGTACGCGAGGACTGGTCTTCGGGCCTAGCCGAAGCCCAATTCCTTCTCCCCCCTCCTGACTGCATGTGTTTGACCCCACTTAACGCATTCCTTTACCAGGTGGAAAGTCACCGGCTGCTACAGCAGGTCTTAACGTTAACGGGTCTGACACTATGACTATGCTGTTTAAAAACCCTCTCTGCCGACACTTATACCCACTATACATTTTGACTTTAATGAAGTATCAGCACTCGTATCAATGAGATTGACGCAATCCCAGTGTTCGATTAGGAAGCCTTTTTTCCTAAAACAACGCACTATGGGCCCTCTCTAAGACAGACAAAATGAATATCTTTCAAGATATCCCATGTGGACTTACGATTTCGAAACGGCGTTATCACTACTCGAACCATAACTTGTGAAAATTTATTACTTGGAAGACCATGAACCGAGCGGGCGAACCCTGTAGCTGAACAATTACTCATGGCACTGACTGTCATGATGATGGACTGGAATCTGCGACTGGAGAATCTCCATGCCAAATCCAAGTGCCCAATTACGGATGACTAAACCAACTCTTCAGAGAAACAGCCACATGACATTCACAATCCCCTGTAGACACTGGTAAGCATCCATGGCTTCGAGTTTTTCATCTTCGTGACATACAGGAAGTCCTCCTTCACCACTTTCTACAGTGTTGCGTGGCCACTTTCCTTCAGAGTTGCTTTCACCTGTTGCCCTAATGGAGATTTTCTGAAACAAATTGACCTAGACTAGACTGCATGAGCCTAGAAGCAAATAAACTGGCTCTACACTGGCCCGTATAGAACATGCGCGCCGTCTGCTAGTACTTGAAATGGCACCCTCTGTGTGAAGTATCACTACGACTCGACTTTAGCATCTCTTAAGATTTTTACTGCCCTAATTTGCAGTTACCTTCTTTTCAACCATACCGCGGACTAATTTTAGGTTTCACCAAATTTGCTATCCATTGACAGGAACGCACTCGTTTGAATGCCAACATTCAAGGGTAAACAGCCAGTTTTATTCTACAGCATTGTATGCTTCTCAAATTTATGCATCCACATGAAACCGATGTGGTGTAAATGCAAATTCATATACTTCCCCCACCACAATGATGCAATGTTAAATCATTACTATGATTAACTTCGCATGATCTACCCTCTGTTCACCTATGAGCGAATTGGCAATCCAGGTACCCACATTTGTCCTCTAGAAGAGTAGGGGACAAATTGTGTCTCAATGGCTTTATTATCTGATTGATGATTTACTTACAAGGAGTTGAACACGCTTATGCGCTCATTGAAATTAAGCCTGCTCATCTGCATTGCTTTGATCTCAACGTTCTAAAGACATAACATTTACAAAGACTTGTGAATCTGAAAACAATTTTATCATGCATATGACATGGGGCTCGGATTATACTGGCGTGCGTAGCACTTCCTGCAACCGATATCGATGACGCTGTGCTAGCGACTCCGAAGGACTACGTTGTTTATGCAAAATTTTTGTATGATTGTCCCGTCTGATCTTTGTCCTTTACATCCAAGAGAATTAGGTGGGTCGGCAACATTAACAACTCGCATGGCTCCTCTGAATTTGAATAGTCCTGACCATTTGAGACGTGCCGTACGTGTAGGATTGGCATTGTTACCCTAGTAACAGGGTCCCGCAGGCCAACATCAACCCCTCAGCCCATCGCAAACCTTTCTTGAGGTGTTCTCATCCTACAGAGAAGGGGAGAATGAGTTGGCATCGCCATGGCGCATGAATGTGCTCTTGTAAACAAAACATCCTGACCTAATAAGTTCAAATTCCAACATCATATTTCTCCTTAAACAACACTGACATACCACACCTATGCTATCAATGTCTGGTCTCTCATCCTTCCCTCGTCTGAGACGCACTTGGAACAGTAGAGAAGGAGAAACTCTGTTTTGCTGCGGGCCTATTAGCTATTATTTGTGTGTGAGAATGATTAAGGTAAATTGCCACTAACGTGGAAACCACAGCGTTCCCATGATCAATGCGCAACAGTAGTAGCGGTAGCCCTTAGCCTCTCCCTCCCTACTCCCCCCTCTTTTCCCCTCCTCCAACCTACCTATCCCCTTTTCACGCCTTTACCTCGATCAATCAATCATTTATCTTCCAGTGCGTCCTCCTGTCCCCATGTCTGGCATTTTTCGGTTGGCTAATAAATTCCATAGCAAAAGAATGGCACTGACAGTGACATTTGCTTGATAATGTGCACGATAATGCAAGTGCCTCGATAATGCATCTACGACAGCCACATAACATCCCATCGCCAACGTCTTATCTGCTTCAGGCACTTGCAAATCTTACTCTATTTAAGTGCACTGCAAAATTGTGATTTAAAAGTATTCTATGGCATTTTAGGGATGTTTTTTCACCTACATCCTTCTTTTTATTTTAACTAAAATGTTTTGATTGCATAAAAGGTGATTCTGGTGTCTTGTGACATCCAGACTGCAGACCTCTTTAAATTTCTGACATGTATTTCAGTTCCGCAGGAAATTGTACCGACAATTAGTTCAATAGACAGACTACTGTACATGTAGAGACATCCATCATCCCACCTACCCTTCCTAAAATCACTGAACTGCTTGTAATTGCCAAAAAGGAATTTAATTTTCTTCCGATAAATACGAGATTGAGCATAATGAGAGGTGTCAATCAATCAACTGATAATTCCATCTTAATTACATTTCACTATATGATTTACTTTACATTTCGCAGTTGAAAGCCAAATCAGTTCCACCGTCTTCGCGGTGCACAAGGCGCTCGATCCCACCACAGAAAGGCACAGTAGAGTGACGTGGGAATTTATTCTGCATTCGTGCCCGATACCCCTGGATTAGGGCAGCCTCTTTGAGTCAAGTGATCAATCAGCTCAAAAGGCGAAGATTTAACGGTATTTCGACTTTACTAAGCTACTTTTTAATTCGCTTTTGGTATCTCAAGCTCTCTACCGATCCGCATTGTGCCCCAGATATCCACCAATTTGGCTTTTATTGTCGTCATATACGATCACTTCACTTTTCTAAGCAGCACTCCAGGGACGGATCTCATCCCTATTCCAATACACTTGCTTGTAATTTTACTTTGAAGTTCTCGTTAACGTACT